AATAATGATCTTTTCTGTAAGATGCATAAGCCTTGAGAGATTAAAGCCGTCCTGGAAAGATATTACGGTACATTTACGACACGGAAACAATACCATGTAATGCCTGTCTGTACTCACCTAATTGTGGTTGCAGGGGTCGAGACTCAGCTCCTGGCCCCTTACCGCTGTGAAGGGATATACGAGTATACACCGAGAGGTGTATTTCCTTCAATGTATATATACCGAGACTTTACCTAGGATAACCCCTTCCCCCCCAAAAAAAAAAGTCAAAGTGACTTATTTCCAAGTGGTAGGAAGCAGAATCCATACATAGTCTAAGTAAGTTTAGGTACAGATACACATTATCATACATGTTAACATGTGTAAATTACCTAAGATAACCCAAAAAGTCAAGACACATATTTCCATTGGGTTTACCTGGAGTTTACCTGGAGAGAGTTTCGGGGGTCAACGCCCCCGCGGCCCGGTCTGTGACCAGGCCTCCTGGTGGATCAGCGCCTGATCAACCAGGCTGTTGCTGCTGGCTGCACGCAAACCAACGTACGAGCCACAGCCCGGCTGATCAGGAACTGCCTTTAGGTGCTTGTCCAGTGCCAGCTTGAAGACTGCCAGGGGTCTGTTGGTAATCCCCCTTATGTGTGCTGGGAGGCAGTTGAACAGTCTCGGTCCCCTGACACTTATTGTATGGTCTCTTAACGTGCTAGTGACACCCCTGCTTTTCATTGGGGGGATTGGTGCATCGTCTCCCAAAGTCTTTTGCTTTCGTAGTGAGTGATTTTTCGTGTGCAAGTTCGGTACTAGTCCCTCTAGGATTTTCCAGGTGTATATAATCATGTATTTTCTCCCTCCTGCGTTCCAGGAAATACAGGTTTAGAAACCTCAAGCGCTCCCAGTAATTGAGGTGTTTTATCTCCGTTATGCGCGCCGTGAAAGTTCTCTGTACATTTTCTAGGTCGGCAATTTCACCTGCCTGAAAGGTGCTGTTAGAGTGCAGCAATATTCCAGCCTAGATAGAACAAGTGACCTGAAGAGTGTCATCATGGGCTTGGCCTCCCTAGTTTTGAAGGTTCTCATTATCCATCCTGTCATTTTTCTAGCAGATGCGATTGAATACAATGTTTATGGTCCTTGAAGGTGAGATCCTCCGACATAATCATCTCCAGGTCTTTGACGTTGGTGTTTCGCTCTATTTTGTGGCCAGAATTTGTTTTGTACTCTGATGAAGATTTAATTTCCTCATGTTTACCATATCTGAGTAATTGAAATTTCTCATCGTTGAACTTCATATTGTTTCTGCAGCCCACTGAAAGATTTGGTTGATGTCCGCCTGGAGCCTTGCAGTGTCTGCATGGAAGACACTGTCATGCAGATTCGGGTGTCATCTGCAAAGGAAGACACGGTGCTGTGGCTGACATCCTTGTCTATGTCGGATATGAGGATGAGGAACAAGATGGGAGCTAGTACTGTGCCTTGTGGAACAGAGCTTTCACCGTAGCTGCCTCGGACTTTACTCTGTTGACGACTACTCTCTGTGTTTTTGTTAGTGAGGAAATTATAGATCCATCGACCAACTTTTCCTGTTATTCCTTTAGCGCGCATTTTGTGCGCTATTACGCCATGGTCACACTTGTCGAAGGCTTTTGCAAAGTCTGTATATATTACATCTGCATTCTTTTTGTCTTCTAGTGCATTTAGGACCTTGTCGTAGTGATCCAGTAGTTGAGACAGACAGGAGCGACCTGTTCTAAACCCATGTTGCCCTGGGTTGTGTAACTGATGGGTTTCTAGATGGGTGGTGATCTTGCTTCTTAGGACCCTTTCAAAGATTTTTATGATATGGGATGTTAGTGCTATTGGTCTGTAGTTCTTTGCTGTTGCTTTACTGCCCCCTTTGTGGAGTGGGCTATGTCTGTTGTTTTTAGTAACTGAGGGACGACCCCGTGTCCATGCCTCCCCTCCATAGGATGGAAAAGGCTCGTGATAGGGGCTTCTTGCAGTTCTTGATGAACACAGAGTTCCATGAGTCTGGCCCTGGGGCAGAGTGCATGGGCATGTCATTTATCGCCTGTTCGAAGTCATTTGGCGTCAGGATAACATCGGATAGGCTTGTGTTAATCAAATTTTGTGGCTCTCTCATAAAAAATTCATTTTGATCTTCGACTCTCAGTCTGGTTAGCGGCTTGCTAAAACTGATATATTGGGACTTTTATAGTCCTCATTTCCTTGTGTCATCTGTTAGGGCCCATCTTGTTTAAGTAGGGGCCCAATACTGGCGTTGTTCTCGATTTTGATTTGGGATAGGGGAAAAATCTTTGGGGGTTTTTTTCGATTTCATTTATGGGTTTTAGTTCTTCCCCCGATTCCCGACTCCTAAAGGTTCTTTAGTTTAAGTTCGATGCTTGTATTTCCTGACCTTTTTCCCCCTGCCATTTCTGATATTTGACCTCTTTTAGCCGCTCTGTTTTTCTTTTCCGTCGCCGTAAAGGGAGCGGTCTCTTTCTTTTTTTACATCTACTCCTCCTTTTTCTTAGAGGAAAAACCCTTTGGGGCAACACGAGTCCACCGATTAATCTGTTTCTGGCATAAGTTTGGGTCGTGTTGCTTTATATCTTCCAGCTTATAGGGTTGGGACGGGTTTTACTTGGTCCCACTTTTGTTTTTTTGTTTTTGAAGTTGAATTGGTGAATGCCCCTCTGACTATCTCATTTTGTGGGGTCTGAGGCTCCAGCATACATTCAAACCTCAATTTTTGGGATCGAGTTTTGTTTTTGATATGGTAAAATTTTTTATCAGATCATCATTGTTATTAAGATGAGGGCTAGGTATTTCCGTCTAGTAGGCTCTATTATTTGTGGGGTTTTAAAATTTAATTTGGCAAGATTTAAAAGCTCTTGAGGTGAGTTTCATCAGAGCTGCCTCCTGGTGTTATTACTGCAACAATATTATTTGCTATATTCCTCCATTTTAGGTGCCCTTTAAGTTGAAATCCCCCAGGGGAAGAGTTGGGGGCAGGAGCTGGAAATTTTTCCCGACAGTGGGCAATTTTTAACAGCTGTTCCTGGAATTGCTGGGATGTTTTCATCCGGGGGCTTGTAGACTACCACAATGACAGGTTTTTGGGTTTTCGACCTTTACTGTAAAACTTACTACGTCATTTGGGGCATTAAGCAGTTCTGGCAAACAATGCTCTGCAATGTACCCAACCCCCCCCTTTTTTCCTGTTCACTCTGTCAACCTGTTAGGGTTTAACCTGGGATCCATATTTTGTTGCCCCAAATATCCTTTAGGGGTCTCAGGAAAGCCGCGAACATTGGCCCTTTGCCTTCAAGCATCCACGGTGAAAGGTATTTTTTTGTTTATTGCTGGCTTTAGACCCTGTATATTTGCAAAGAAGAATGTTATCGGACTGGTGGTATTGTTGGTACTGGGGGGGGATTTTTTTTCCGGCATTAGTATCTGTATCTGGTTCTTGTATGGGTTCTTGATTTCCATGGGGGAAACCTTGATTTTCATGGGGTTCTTGATTTTCACTTGATTTTCATTGGCCTCACTTTGCCAGGAGTGAATCCAGTGGGTAGGCAGGGCCAAGAGCTGAGAGTCAACCCCATGCAGCCAGAATGGATGAAAGGACCCCAACAGATATGTCACTCTGTTTTGGGTTATCCTAGGGTTTCTTTACACTTTAGCTGTATTCTGTAACATCACAGTAAACAGCGTGATATATGAAATGCAAATACAACCACTGTTGTGGAAAAAAATTTTCCCATTATTATGTTGTTGTAAATAAACCTGATCAAGAGTGTATTTTTAAAAGAAGTATGTTATCGAAAATGGGAAGCCTGCACCTGCGCAGAAGAGACTCGCCATTTTGGTTTGAATGAGCGAGAAAATGTTTAGTTAAATAATGTGAAGAAATTTTCGGCTCTACAGGTAATTTGGGTTGACACCTCTCAAATAGGAGGTCGAAATTGTTGGATGTGCATTCCTGCATAACTTGAGATATCAGACGAACGACAAGATACAGCTCCCAGGAACCTCTGATAAGCTATAAGATTTGTGTTTAATTCTGGCCATGTTATTTTCATAAATTTAGTTAGAATGAGGTTTTCTTGAGTATTGATACACCTTAATCTCCAGGTCAAATTGGTGAGTGATATTAAGATATTTCTCCTGTTATGATATGTGTATATATATATTTCTTTATTAATTTAAGTAAAGTAAGTTTATTCAGGTATACACAATAGTTACATAGTATTATCATTCATGCAGCATATATGTAAGCGAACCTGGGATAACCCAAAAAAAATGTCAGACTGACTTATTTCCTTTGGGGTGAGGTCCACCAAATTTATTTAAACAGATTTCTTGTTGATGCATCTTTCATTTGTATTATAGGTCAGAGCAAACTTGTGGAATATAACAGTGTTAGTATCGACGGGGGGACATTTTTTGCGATCTAGTTGTCCAAATTCCTACTATGTCAAACTAATAAATAATAATTATCTTTGTTCATTTACTGTTATGTACATAATGATACATTCAGATAAATGCAGTTTTCCACAACTGTGAAAGAATAGTGAAGTTCCAAGCGCTTTCGTGGCTTTTCACATTATCAAGGAACATAGTTCCTTGATAATGTGAAAAGTCACGAAATCCCTTGGAATTTCACTATTCTTTCACAGTGATTGTTTTGCATATGTTGTTATGTATAATAATCTATATAAATATTATTTGTGTATACCTGAACCCTTCAAGGGAAGTTCCATAACGCTGATGAGGGCTCTTGATCTAGGAAATTGGATCTGTGCTCCAGTTCCCTAAATTAAACCAAAATACCTTCCATCCTCCCCACAGGCGCTGCATAATCCCACGGGTTTAGCACTTCTCCATGATTATAATAACGTAAACCCGAATAAAGTTAATAACCAGCAGTACCGCCATCTAGGTATTGTGAGAGAAGATACAAGTGTATCTTACAGAGTGTGTGTTGAGTGGTGGAGCTGTGTGTCAGGGAGTCAGCTGGTGTCAGGAGCACCTCCATCTGTCACGAGACTTGTCTACGTCCATATCTTCCTGTCTCAGTCTGCATTTCAAGTGTTTCTGATGGAGTACAGGCCTCTGTCATCAGTTCCAGGCGGTGATAGCTTCCTCGGAGACAAGGTCCCACATTCTTCCACCATTCTTGAATTTATAATTGATTATCGATTCTAAAAGATTTTTGTTATTTCGTTAATTATGTAAGTTTTTTTTCACGTACAGGTACACACAAATACTTACATAAATTATCATATATAGAGCATATGTGTATATTACCCAGGATAACCCCAAGAAAGTCAAAGTGACTTATTAACAACGGGGTTTTTGTAATAATTATAATATGCGCAGAATACATTTATGTACTGTAAAGGTCTCTTGATCCAGAGAAATAAACTCGTTCTATTCTTGTATTGAACCTGAATAACACCCATCCGTGTTTAGTGCTTCCATAAATATAATAATCATGTAGGACATCGTGCTGGTATTACAGTACATACAAAAATAAAAGTAATTCTTGTGTGCATATAATTATTACATTTCAACAAATAAATATTATATCTGTATATCTGTTAAAATTTATGACCTAACCTAATCCAGTCTTTTGACAAACTGGAATTCTGATTAATATAGTTATCTAGATTATATTAAATCATCGTAATACACTATCATTGTATGCTTAAAACATTTATATATCTTCAGAAAAAGTGTACGAATTTATATTGCTGTGTGTACATTAGAACATAAGGAGGAGCACTACAGAAGGCCTACTGGCCCATACTTGGCAGGTCCTTGTCACCGGGTAGATTCTCCTGAACAAAACTTTATCAGAGAACACTAGAATAAGATAAGGGTTCAAATGGGGAGGGACATACAGGCAAGTTACCTCACAATTATTGCTGTTACCAAGCAGTGAAACAGAAAAATGGTGACTTTTGGAAAAAAGACATGCAGTATGTGATACTTCATTAGCAAGAACCTTAATGGAAATTATCAAGGAGTACAATGAAAATAATCAAGGACTTTGTAAGTTGATTTAGGTACAGGTAAAAAAGCACAATTATTATACATAGTATAAATTACATAGGATAACCTAAAAAAAAGAAGTCAGTGACTTATTTCCATTGGGGTCCTAGCCTGACTCTTTTTTTGGGTTATCCTAAGTAATTTACACTTAAGTTACTAGATATGGTAATTGTACTTGTGTACCTGTACCTAAATAAACTTGCATATAGGCACACATGTATAATGCAGGACCATATGGGGATTTATCTTTGGATACTCCAATAGCCTTAACAACTAATCATATTAAATGTTTGGTGTTGTATCTTGGATATAAGCAACAGATATACAAAGGTGAAAGCTATGATTTAAGCAATGATTCCATACAATAAGACTTTCTTGGGATTTTAACATGGTCAGCACCCAGGAGAACCCAAGATGGCTAAGAAAGCCCTGTTTCATCTAGGACTGACTCTTATTTCCAATGGGGTCCTTTAATTTTGTCCCCAGGATGCGACCTACACCAGTCGACTAACACCCAGGTACTTAATGCTAGGTGAACAGGGACAGCAGGTGTAAGGAAACCTGCCTAACTTTTCCAACCATGCTGAGAATTGAGATGCTCTGCATACAAGGGGCTTTGGCATGCTGCACTTTAAAAATTGTATTCCTTGTACTTCTCTGTATCATGTTCAAATTAAATAAAATAAATAAATAAATAAATACTGATTGTACAGCAATGCATGCAACCATACGACCTGTTTTTGTAATACTCGTTTGTGCTTGATCTGTTTACAATGTTTTACCACTGAATACTTCATTGCTTAGTTAATTTTAAGCCTGCCCGTAATGCTATGCATTCAAGTGGCTTTGGCATGCTGCATTTAACTGTATTCTTTTGTACTTCTCTATCATGTTCAGTTAAATAAATAAATAAAAAAACTACAGACACTGGTGTAAGGCAAGAATGCTGGTATTGAAACCTCAGTAGGAGATTTGAGCTTATGTAGGTAGATTTTACCCATATTTTTATATTTTTATTAGTTTAAGATTTTTTTTTTCTCAACAGGGTCCTACGGAGGGCTCGTTGATGGCAGCTGTGCTTCCTTATGTGATTATGATTATACTTCTACCTATTGGTAGTTTCTTCTTCTCTAAGTCAATCATATTTGAAGGTACTGTAATTTTCTAGTTTCAGATTTCTGGAAAAAAAAAAAAATTCATGGGCTTTGGAAATTTTGGTCAAAGCATAATTCAGTAACTACACAATTTATTTGATTTTAAATTGATAGTTTTAAATGATGTATTTAAGTTTTTCTGTTTGGATACAATTTTATTGATTTAGAAGCTGAATTTTTTAATAGTTCCTTAATATCCTTCAAGTGGAGCACATTGATGCTAGTGAAAAGCTTTTGTTCCATGATTGATTGATGAAATTAAATCTGCCCTCTATTTTGTTAGCTCAGTAATGATTACCTCCCTTTTCCCAGTATGCTATGTGACCCCTTTTGTTTTATTGCAATTTATTGTAATCATATTTATTGTCCTGAACCAATAGTGTGCTTCTAATATTGTATAGTGCTGTATAAAATCATTTCTGCTGTTTTGAATCCAAATCAGTTAACTACTATAGGCTTTGTGTATTTTCAGATCTCCTATCTTACAGCGAGACAACAGCCAGTGTTTATGGTGCCATTTGTTCTGTCATCATTTTACACATTCTTCTGGCACTGTTTATCCTTAAAGCCTTCAAGGAGTCTCCTGTCAAGGGCTCCAAACAGGATTAATTTTGTAAGTTGAATCCCACAAGTGATCCATTGCAAAATCTCCAGCAAAAATACAGTAAGTCCTTGACTTAGACTTGTTGAGAATCTTCTGTATTGTGTATATTGTTGTATCATTGTGTATATTATATCATTATTATACACAATACAAAAGGTCTCCGTGCTCGTAAGTTGAAGACTTCCTCTATTATGAATGTTATACACAGTTTAAGAGGTCCCCATGTGTTTGTACGTCAAGGACTTGCTGGATAAATGTTTCATACTGTGAACAGTGTCTTGTACAGTACATAAAATAGTGCATAGAATTACTATGTTCTACACATGTTTTATACACACTTGGGTTTCTTGGGTTATTCTAGGTTAACTGTAATGCAAAATTAAAATAATTTCAGTGCTTGTATAACTACAGTGGTGTCATGTGGGTTTTCGATAACGTGGATGGGGTAAGAATACTCACGTAGGCTGGTAGTACGTATAATATAACAGGAAGTATGGGGAAGCACCAACAAACTTTTGATCAAGCTTAGGCATTGCTAGGCATTGCAGACGTTTTGTTAAAGTTAGTCAGCATAACTCTCGAACCTACTTTGATTTTGGATGGCTTTGCTCGAGTGTTTGCGACTCTTGTAAATTCTGCTGTTGATTTATGAAGTGTTTCACGGATTCTTCTAAAGACATTTTGAGCTAAACTGGTACGAGTTGCTATGAAATCATCAGGGTTGTAATTTGGTTTCGGATTAGAATATAACAACTCGTAAGGCAAACGTTTATCTACACCATACAATGCATAATGTGGAGTGTCACCTATAGAAACATTGTAAGCAGAATTTATAGCACACTGCACATCAGGTATAACTTCATCCATAACTACAGTGGTACTCCTTGTTTTGTACATAATTCATTCCAGAAGGCAGTTCGAGTGCCGTTACTGAACGAATTTGTTCCCATAAGGAATAATGTAAATTAGATTAGTCCATTTCAGACCCCCCCAAAAATACTTACAAAAGCACTTAAAATAATATACTTGTATAATTGTTTGAGTTGGGAGCTGTAAGAGACTCGGGGTACCACTGCAATTGGTATCAAAGTGACCCATCTATTAACCCTTTCAGGGTCTGTCTTGTAGATCTATGGCTTTACGTTCAGGGTCCAAACCGTATATCTACGTCATGAGCTCGGCTCGCTGATAAACTGTGAGTGGCACATTTGGGCCTAGATATGAAAGAATACATGTATGTGGTATGTGTGCACCACATAAAACAAATCCTGCAGCACTCTGTGTATGATAAAAAAAAACTGAGACCATGATTTTCGATTAAAACAGTGACTTTGCAGTGTTTTTTTGTATAATTTTTATAGTTGTATTTGCGATTTCTTGGTCTCGTTTGATAGAATGGAAAACATATTACTGAAATAGAGATGATTTTGATTGGTTTTAGCACTGGAATTGGCTTGAAACCGAGCTCAAAGTAGCGGAAGTGTTAAATTTTTGCCGATGTTAGAGTAAACAAACGACCTCACACGTCTAATACATGCCAGCTGGTGGGTCTAATATACATTCACAAATGTGGTGATATTTATACAATTATTACAATATTGCATAACAGTAAATCTTCTATTTTTTGGCGTGAATAAACATTCATTATGTGAATAAAAAATCAAAAGGGAATTTATTTGTAAAGCCTCAAAACGTAACTAATGAACAGAGGAAATGTTAGTTTAGTGCCAGGAATACCTACATTGTTTATTCTGGACCCTATTTTGAAATTGGAATATTTTGAACTTTGTGTTAAATTGGCCAAATTACCAACTTCTGATCACTTTATTTTGTAGGGTGACCCAAAAAGAAAGAATCCCCTAAAAGAAAATACTGTCCTCATATTATTATTATACATATTGTATTATTATTGTATTATACTATTATTATTATACGTATTATTATTATACATATTATTATACATATAAATAATTTGTAATTGTTATTCACACAAAAAATATAAGATTTACTGTTATTCCTTATTGCAATTATTGTATGAATGTCAACCCATTAACGACTGCATATTGGAATGGACAGTGACATCATTGTTGGCTCTGAAACGGCCAAGCAATGGACTATTTCTCCTAGGTTGAGCTCAATTTCAAGGTACTTTTTGTGGTGAAAGCAATCAAAATCATATCTATTTCTGTAATATATCTTCCATTCTATCAAATGTGACCAAAAAAACGAGAATACAACCATAAAAACTATTCAAATTTACAGCTAAGGGGTGGCTAATTGCTACGGAGTGAACTCCATTATTTATGTGTGTCTGACAGATTGAACATTATTTATGCTTAGATTCCTTTCATTTTTGGTGTACGTTAAGAAGCATCTTTCCATCATACATTGCCCAAGTTTCAATACGATAGTCCAACAAACAAATGATATACAATTCTCGATCAAGAACAAGAGCCCCTCACCAGTGTCAAGGAACCTGCCTTGAGGTCTGCTCGCTTGTGGAAATTTTGCTCGCGTATGGAAGCAAAAAATCTACCCATCGACTGCTCATATTTGGAAAAACTCGCACGTGGACACGCTCTCAAGTAGAGGTTCCACTGTACTCTGATAATTATACTAGTGTGTACCAGGTACCTAAATAAACTTGCACTGTGCTGGCATGCAGGTACACATTAAAATCACTAAGAGTATCTTAGTCTTGAGGGCTCCATATTAACCCTTTCACTGTTGGTGCCATATAGATATGTCTGACGTATATGGTGGCGTATTATGCCAAAATTCTAGTGGTTGCAAATCTAGGGGGAGAAAGCTGGTAGACCTACATGTGAGAGAATGGGTCTGCATGGTCAGTGTGTGCAGTATAAAAAAATTGGGGAAGCCAGTGGTGCATTGTGGGAGGCCCATTTCAGTAGGCCTTGTTTACCATGCTTTGCGGTAATATGTACCTCACTCCCCGGCAAATTGGGACTGTTCTCATCCCAAGTGATAGTTCTAACAGATGAAAGTGTCAGTGAAGATGAATTTCATGGTTTTGAGGAGTTTGTGACTGAAAACAGTACCCAGGATACCAAAAATGGTGCTGAAAACCCAGATGACCATCAACCTAGGATAACCCAAAAAAGCCAGTGACTTATTTCCATATGGGTGGTGGGGAGGATGGCATGCTTTTTTTTTTTTTTTTTTTTTTTTCCCCCGAATATTTTTCAACACTGAGAAGGACTTCAGGATCTGAGCTCCTGACAGTGAAAGGGTTAATAACAATATTATGCTCATTAAATGTTGTATATTAAATTTATATAAAAATTTTCATTAATCCATCTATATTTTTTTCAAAATTATATAATCACTACGTAACCTATAAACATGATAAATACACCCCACAGTAGAATAAATTAACATAAATGTATGAACCAAAACCAGGTGCGTTCGTCTGCTTGTTTACATAACTCCGCGTCTCTTTCCTGTCACATTTCTCATTCTCTCTTGTTCATTCGTTTTATCTTGTTTACTCACCTCTCACCCTACATTAAGACTACAAATATTTTAAGGTAAGTAATGAGTGTACTGCATACGCATTTTATCACTCTAGGGCGCTTTAAATGTCGTAGTATATTACATATGGGTGGGGTGGCCTGGCTGGCTACCATACCTCCGACACTTGACTTCTTACAATAAATACTACTACTTGCCCTACATTAAGACTACAAATATTTCAAGTAATGAGTGTATTGAGTGTATTTTACTTCTTATTGTTTTTAATGCCCAGTTCTATTGCTAACTTGATATGTTAGTGTAAACTTATCGGGCATTAATTAGCTGGAAAAAAAATGGTGTTCTACTTTTCGGTGATGTCCGCTTACTGGCGGTAGCCAAGAACCTAACCTGCCATGTAAGTGGTGGCCCTATGTACATAAAGTTTAAACCAGATGTTTTCCACCCAGGCAGGATTATCCAGAGAAACAAATTGAGTCACTTATTTCCTAGCTCTGTTACCAAATGTGCATTAATATCGCAAAGTAATTTCCTGAAATGCATTACTTTTTCCTTAAATAATGATAGGTCTTTTTCTTTCAGATTTTTTGTTTAGTTGATTTGTGTGTGTTGAAAATTGTTGTCTTTGAAGTTTGAACTAGTGGTCATCTTAAATGATTTGCTCACAAGTAAACTTAGCTTGTACAGATGCAGAAGCCCAGTCATAATAAATATACATGGAAAGTCATAAGAATCTACCACTTAAAGGATCTACATCACTTGCTCAAGCAAAGTCTTCTATGTCTACAAGGCCAAAGTCCAATATGAATAATGCACAGTCAAGTTCTGTGGTACGGCCTACTGTGTGTAAGCTGAACATCTCAAGCTCTGAGGAAAACCAGTACAACAATTTGTCTGTGGAGGAAATTATAGTAAGTTTGACTAAAACAATGTACAGTGAACCTTTGATTTAATGTTCTAATTGGGATGGGGGGTTAACTGTTAAGCAGATTGTCCTTGTGTCTAAATTATGAGAATACTTTTCCGTGATCATAACGGTAACGATCAGTTCTGGATTGAATGTTCATATTCTCTTAAATCCAGAAATAAATTTTCCCAGTTGACTGTAACAATAATGGACAGATCTGAATTTAATGGACTATCTTTTTGAATGTTGTCCGGCCATAAATTTCCATTTACATCTGGGTTTTTAAATAATTTTTTTAAAACATGTCGGCCGTTTCCCACCAAGGCAGGATGATCCAAAAAGAAAAAAAAAAAACTTTCATCATTCAACATTTTCACCATCACTCGTACATAATCATTGTCTTTACAGAGGCACTCAGATACAACAGTTTAGATGCCCCTCCAAACTTCCAATATCCCAAATCCCTTCTTTAAAGTGCAGGCATTGTACTTCCCATATCCAAGACTTAAGTCCAACTAACCGGTTTCCCTGAATTCCTTCACAAAATATTACCCTGCTCAGGTCCCAAAAACCATCAGTCTCCATTCACTCCTATCTAACATGCTCACGCACACTTGCTGGAAGTCCAAGCTCCTCGCCCACAAAACCTCCTTTACCCCCTCCCTCCAACCTTTTTGGGGATGACCCCTACCCTGCCTTCATTCCCCTACAGATTTATGTGCTCTGTCATTCTACTTTGTTCCATTTCCCTAAATAACCAAACCACCTCAACAGCCCCTCTTCAGCCCTCTAATACTTTTAATAACTCGCCTCCAGCTGCCTGCTTGCTGCAACATTTGCAACCCATGGTTCACATCCATATAAAAGTGTTCGTACCACTGTACTCTTGTACATTCCCTTCTTTGCCTCCATGGATAACGTTTTTTTGTCTCCACAGATACCTCGATGCGCCACTTGCCTTTTTTCCTTCATCAATTCTATGGTTAACCTCATCCTTCATAAACCCATCTGCTGCCAAGTCAACTTCCAAATAGTATCTGAAAACATTTACTTCTTCCATACTCCCTCCTTCCAATATGATACCCAATTTTTCTTTAAATCATTTGATACCCTCATCACCCTACTCTTGTCTATGTTCACTTTCAACTCTCAACCTTTACACACCCTAGGTTTTACTGTATTTAATTGTGGTTTCAACTGTAATATTAAAGCACTAAAGCCACTAAAGACATTCCCTCAATTACCTAAAATTTTATCTTAACAGTAGACTTTTCTTCGTTTATCTTTTAGTTTTTTCCCACAAGTCGCCCTCCCACCACAGGTGACCCACATTAATGAACATCCCCAAATGACATACTTAACTCATTAAAACACTTTCCACCACACTACTTTATGTCAAGTCCTACTCAGAAGCATACACTTAAATACACAAAACCCCCAAATAGCCTGTATAGAAATGGATGTATACATGTCTAGGATTGGGTGACTAACTATCTTTTTCAACATTAAGACAAAAACATAAAAATTCATTTGCCGGACACTACTTATGTCACTCCCACTCAGACCCAGCTATACTTAGACAAAACCCAGTTAGAATGTGTCAGACTTGGTGATCAAGAAAAAATACTTTGCTGTTTGGAAACTGAGCCTTAAATATCCAACTTAATACAGTGGAACCTCAGTATGCGACCTTCATTCATTCCAGATGCCTGTTAGAGTGCTGCTCCATTTGAGTATCGAACAAGTTCTTCCCAATCAGTTTTCTGTTTGGTTATTACTAATCTTTGTAGGCCCCATGGTGACTTATTTATACAAATAATACAAAAAAAAAAAATACCAAGAAACATGAAATAGTTTACACCGAAGTTCTGGCAGGTCGTGTTTGTTTGGTCGAGTGCTGAGCTTAGCTCGAGTGGGGAGCTGGTTGTATACCAAGGTTCCACTGTATATCAGTAAGTGGTTCCCCTATTACAAGACACTGAGGGTAAATTTCTAGGTCTTCTCCTTGACTGTAATCTTAAAATTCATTCCCACATCCAGCATATATCCAAGAAAATTTCCAAATCAGTAGGCATCCTTTCCAAGATACTATACCATGTACCCCAAACGATACTCCTTACCCTATTCCACTCTTTAATATATCCCTACTTCACCTGTGGTATTTGTGCCTGGGGATCAACCACAGCCAACCACCTTAAGCCTTTAATAATCCAACAAAAAGCTGCTGTGCAGATGATAACCAGCTCCTGTGCCAGACAGCACACCCCACCACTTTTCAAAAGCCTGAACCTACTAAATATACAAGACATACTCATATTATTGTACCTACTACATATACAGAACATAAAACTCCACTTAAACTTCTTGATAGCCACGACAGTACGCAGTCACATTACAGGGCACAAGGCACTCTTCGACATCCCTCATGTCAGTCTCATAGTATGCAAAAATCCAATGCACATAAAGGATTGAAGTTCTGGAATTTTCTATCTGAACTGGTAAAGAATCCCTAACTATATACAAACTTAGGGCTATGCTTGAAAATTCTCTTAATACTAACCAAAACAACTTCTAATCAGTTTGAAGTAGCTCTCCCAAATATTATATGACCTCTAGTCTATTAAACCTCTACCAGTCCATGAAATATTACTGTTTGAAACATTAATTGTAATATTGTTTTTATTATGTACAACTTCAAGATTATTTTTCTTATAAACCTCTACCTTGACTACCTTGCTTTAGTATTAAGATAAAATAGATTTACTAAAAAGTTAACCACTCTTATCTTGTCTAGACTTTAGTTATTTTGTACTAGGATAAGTCTGTCTGAAATGCCCTGGTATGATGGTGGCTTTCTTGGTATTTAACAAGCCAAAATTGTAATTACATTTGGTAATCTTTGCAAATAAATAAAATCTCTATTCTTTTATAAGTGATACAGGGCCTGGGGAAGAGAAATTTGAATAGAGGAAAGGGTGGCTCCAGTTCCTTGGATCAAGATCCCTTTATTAGAATGGTCATTCATTTAAAAATCATCACCTCCCTTGGAGATAATTTTTTTACTCGGCAATAGTTTTTTTTTTTTTTCCACTTGCAGGGTTTGGGAGATGACAGTCTTGGTCTGAAGGTTGTATTAACTACAAAAGAAGAGGCCTACATGGGTGTCATCAACTATGTACTGCCAGCTAGTAGACGATTGGCATTAGAGAAGGTATAGCAGAGTTGGCGATGATGCAAAGTTTTTTTTTTTTTTTTTTTTAGTGCTTCCCCTCGCTCCTACCAGGACTCTGCTCCAGTGATACTGGCAGGAACATTTTTGTGGGGGGCACTGAGGGAAGAATACCAGTGAGAAAGTTTCTTCTTTTTCTTCCTTCAACGTACCAGCCGTATCCCACCGAGGCGGGGTGGCCCAAAAGAAAAAACAAAAGTTTCTCCTTTCAAATATAGCAATATATACAGGAGAAGGGGTTACTAGCCCCTTGCTCCTGGCATTGTAGTTGCCTCTTACGACATGCATGGCTTACAGAGGAAGGATTTTTATCAAATTTTCCCATGGAGACAACTGCTGTATATAGTCTGCAAAATTTTATTGATTCATATTTGATATTTTTTTTGTGGAATGCTAGTAAACCAAATTGGGCAGACGTTTGTGAAGATGAACAAAAAATGTGAAGTTATTCTCTCCTGCATGTGCAGTTGGGTACAGAAATGATGAATAGGACTTTTAGACTTAGATGTTGTCATTTAGAAAAATAAGTCATAGTACTATGGCTGGAACAGCTAACTAATCCACAATTTGGGAAGGCTAGTTTCAGTCCATCATGGCTTCATGAATTTATAATGAACCAGGATGGCCTAAAATTTCAAAGGTTTCCTCTTTTAATTGTGGGCAAGTTGTGCACAGTATTCCTCTTCAAGGGGGGGCTCCTTGGCATGGTGAAGAGGCTCTTGGTCTGAGGAATTAGACCTGTCGGTGTTACACTCCAAGTATTGTAACAACTATTTCCTTCTTTTTAGAGCATAACAATTTTGGTCAGAGAGGTTAGGGTAATAATAATGATCCTCCGGAATGCCTAATTTTAATTAAGTATATTCATAATATAACAAAAGCCAGTTATAATATACGAATTATCGTATATAAGTTAAGAATACATGTTTCTTCTGTAGTATCCAACATATACATAAGGCTTTCAAAACAGACGATTAGGAGGAGATCCTAGATAAACAAAATTTAAATGGAGATTACTTTTTACATTAAATCTTTTTTTCCAATTGAAGCATCAGAATAAAACAGAAATGTCCAGGCCGGCTAATAAACCTGGCCCGTTACAAACAGCAGGGGGTGTTTCCCTTGGGGTACTTCTTTACTGCTCGTCCCCCAACCTTGAGCATAAGGGAAAGTGGGTCAATGACGGACCCCAAAATAGTGAGTATTGAAATTTAAAAGGGGGGGGGGGTTAAATGTAAATATACAGGGGGGAGAGTTTTAAATTTTTTTATTGGGTTACTTAAAAAAATTTTTTTAAAAAAATTTTTTTTTTAAAGGGCTTTACCCTTTATTTAAAAAATAAATTTTTTATTAAAAGGTTAACCCAAGGGTAAAAAAATTCCGGGTTTAAATTTATTTAAAAAAATTTAATATTTTTTTATTTTTTTGTAAACTTAAAAATTTATGAAAAAATTTTATTAACCATTTTAGGGGAAAAAATCGGGTTTTTTTTAATTTATTAAAAAGGGGTGGGAATTTTTTTAAGCCCCCTAATTTTTTAAATTTTTTTTTCTTTTTTAAACTCGGGGAAATTTTAAAAAATTTTTCCAAGGGGGGGGTACTTCCCTTCCCATTTTAAAAGAGTATTTTTTTCTTTAAAAAAATTTTTTAAAATTTTAAAGGGTTTATTTCCCAATTTTTTTGATTTCCAATTTTTAAAGAGTCCATAAACCCAAAAAACCCCGGCCAAAATTCCCCCCCTTTAAGGGGTTTGGGTTGTAAACCCCCGGGAAAAAGGGGGGGGGTTACCAGGGAAAAATTTCCTTATAGAAAGGGCCGAAAAATCGACCCGGGAAATTTTTTTCCTTTTGGGCCCAGGAAACGGCACCTGGGGGAACCCTTAAGGGGAAAAAGGTCCAAAAATTGGACCTTTGCCCAATTTAAATTTATTAGGGGGTTTTCCCTTGGTTTTTTGGGGGGGGTTGGTTTTTATTGGTGGGGGCCTTACTTTTCCCTTTTTTTTAAAAAAAAAGAGTTTTAAAATCTGGGTTTAAAATCACATTTTTTAAAATTTTACCCAGTGAAAAATTGATTTTTTCTTTTAATCTTTTTTTTTAGTTGTCTTCTTTTAAATGGTTTTCCCTCTTCAAAAAAACCACCCGGGGGGGGTTTAAAAATGTTAAAAGGGTTGGTAAATGTTCTTTCTTAAAGGGGGGGGCCTTTAAACAGGGGGGTCCTTTAAAAAATGCCCCTTTTAATAAAAAATTTTCCCTAATTAAACTGTAATCCCCTTAATCTAACCCCAAAAAATTACCAAAACATTTTAAATCTAAATTTGGGTTAAACCCCTTTTTAAAATTTTAAAAATTTTAAAAAAAATTTAACCCCCCTCTTTTTTTAAAAAAAAAAAAAACCAAAAATCAACTTTAAAAAACAAAAAAATCCAAAAAAAATTTCTTTTAAATTTTTTTTGTTACGGGAAGCCCGGGGGGGGGAAAGTTTTTGGGGACTACTTCTAACAATTAAATATCGGGGAAAAACCCAAATGACAAGGAGTGGGGAAATATCTTTGAAGATGGAGTTATTTTAGTGTTTAAATTTTGATTTGAGATTTTGGGGGAGGTAGGAAGAATTTCGGGAAAGGGTCTAGTTCTTTTAAAACTTCAGAATTATGTAGTCTAAATTCTCTTTTCCCTTTCAGTGTCATTCCTTATTTCAGGGTGTAGGTTGATAAGGTAATAATGTAGGGGAAGGGTAGATCGTACTTTTTAAATTATCTATGGATACCCCTTTAAATTTTCTTACGACGTCCTGGTTCAAAAGGACAATAATTCCGTCTTTTTTTTGTCTCATTTCATATGCCCCAATATCTAGGTTTTAAAAGAATGTCCCGGAATTAAGTTTTTAAAAAACCTAATTCATTCGGGGGAATGAACGAGATTAGCCTTTTGGTCATAAAAATTTCTTCATTTTTGGCTTGAGCTTCTGACGATTCACGGGCTGCTTTTTAATTTGGAGAGAGGTTCTTTCCAAAGTAGAGGACTGGGATGAAGAGTCCTCTCTTCCCTACCCAAAGAATCTCGTAATATGGCTAGGGCCCTCGCACCTGATGTCCAAAAATAAAGTCAAATGGAGAGTATTAGTACTTTCTTGTTCAGCTTCACGGAGGGCGAAGAGAAAAAAAGGGGTTTAAACCTTCGTCCCATTCACGAGAATATTGCTCACAGTAAGCAGTAAAGTAGTTTTAAAAGGGTTTGGTGGAATCTTTCTAGCACACCTTGTGACTGGGGATGATAGCTGTAGAGAGGATCTGTCTTATCCTAAGCGAGACATAGCCTCTTTAAAAACCTTAGATGTAAAATTAAAACCTTTGGTCAGATTGAATTTCATGTGGTATGCCTACTTGAGCAAAGAAGCGTATTAAAGCTCTTACTATATTCTGGAATTAATTTTGGACATGGGGATAGCATCAGGATCCCGAGTTGCCATATCTATGATAGTGAAGATATTACTGGTTACCCTTTTTGTGCGGGGCAACGGTCCTACACAATCAAAAAACTAATCTTTCAAAAGGTTCTTCAGGACTTTTTTATTGGAAGTAAAGGGGCAGACGCGGGATTGTGCGCGTTTTGCCTATTATTTGACAAAGGGTGGCTTTTTCCGTAGTTTGGTCAGAAATATAAGTCCTCATCTGAGGCCAAAAAAAATATTTCCTATTTTTTTCTCTGTCCTTACGAGATCCTAAATGACCTCCCAGTGGATTATCATGTGCTAGTTCAAATACCATTTTTTCGTAAGGACGATGGCACCACTAACAAGTTTCCTTTTGAACTCAAATCATTATCATTATTTCTCTTCCAAAGAAAACCGGGCTTCATCTAAAAGGTAACCTTCCTCTTATCCTTTTTGGTTAAGCTTTTAACGTCCTTTAGAGCTATTGAAATTCTTCTTTATTACATTTTCTAGCTAGGTCTACGCAGGGACCTGTGTTAAAAACTTTGTCACTGAGGGTGTCGACTTGAATTGCTTCGCTAAACAGGAAGTTAAACCTAATAACATCGGGACATTTCTAAAGGCTGTGACTGATCCAAATTGTTAGAGTTCTTAGCCATGGCTCTGGGACCCCACATTAAGGGGAAATAAATCTAGCCCTGCCCTCTGAGGCTTTTCTAGGGCATTAATTTACTCACAAGAAGGATTATCTATAAACCTGAGGCTCTCTCTGGGTATCTCCAATTGATCAATTTCGTTCCGATTAATAGATCCCGCGGCCAATGGGAAAAGGTTTATCTGAAAGTCCCACATTGATCCAGCTACATATCCAGGCAGTTCTACATACATCTTATATAGGGACCTTTATTATGGTGCCTCCGTAAGCCTCTAACAATTAGTCTAGGCCGGGGGAGTTCATACTAGTAGGTACTGTTACCAGGTTTGAATCTTAATAAAGAGAGATAGCTGCTCGTATTCCGAACGGGTGATATTTACTAACCCTCTCCTTACAGAGTCCGAACTTCCCATGGGAAAAGTAGGGTTCTCATGGCTCCTCGGACCTTTTTTCTTGAAGCACTGTAGTGGTAAAGTCATCTATTAGACGGTCTGCTAGACGAGGCCTGAAAAAGGTTAGAGATTCATCATCCAGAGTTTCAACTTCGAGGAGAGGAATTTATTATCCTGGGTAGGATACCTCTCTTTGGTTGGGTTTTTTATCTTCCCGCTGTTTATGCAACACTGGGACTGTTCTAGACCTATCTTTTACCAAAAAAGGCACTGTGGTAATTGATTTTAGGAAGGTCTGGAGAAAGAGGCGTTTGTCACTGTTTTTTGTTTGGAATACACTTCAAAGGTTCGCCAGCTGGAAGCTTCCTAGCCGTCAATCCTTGAACTAAACTTGGGAGGTTAGATATTCCTTTTACGGGGCCTTAGAATTCTTCCTGTGGTTATAGCGTGGGAAATTTCAAAGTGATCTGCAGTGGGCAGCAGTATCTAACAAAGTTAGTAGT